GGGGGGGGGTGTAGTGAAACATATTGGTGAGCGTAGTATGTTGTATTCAATATATATATAGTTACATTATGACTCAATTATCACAACTTTACTCCAATAGATCACGCGACAACTACTGAAGACCACTTACCGCGACAAGGACCCTTATGTGCAAGAGTATTGAAGTGAGAGATATCTCCTTGCTACAACACACTGATTTTATGCAAAGAAAACTTCTTTCTAAGGATTACTATGAAACAATAGGAAAATTTTACAACAGTTACATCTCCTAACTATGACATTTGGAACAGCAATTTGAAGAAAGAAGAAAGAAAAGAATAAATATATTTGTTTTATACCCTCACCCTTTTTCTATCTTTTTTCTCCAAGTGGAAGACTAAAACCAGCTTTCTTACATTGCTGGGAATAATGGGATTGTTTGTCTGCTAAAGATACATGATACAACATGGATAAAACATTCAAGAAGTCAATAATAGCTCACTACCTTGAACATTCTGTTGTAACAAGCAAGTCCCTTCATTCCTCCAATCCGATCATCATTTAGGTAGTGCCGCTGGCCAGAGTCATTGCTATTCATTTCATTGCCAGGAGTCGAGGAGCTCATTTGGTTGAGGCTGGGTATAACCATGGCTACTTAGTCTCCATCTACACCAAGTCCATTGCAACAAAGGTAAATTACCAATTTTGTGATCTTGGGATTTGGATAAAATATATAAAGACAGTGGTCAAGACAAGCAGGATCTTACAAAGTCTCAACTTGCCAATGTCAGAACAAGCATTTTCATATTTATAAGTTCCAGTTAAAGCCTATATGCAGCTAAAGGAAGGGGGCTTGACAAAAGGGAATCTAGCATTCAAATAAAACTCATTTCACGACTCATTAAGGGTGACCAAACAGTAATTCCTAATGAATCAAATGCCGAAAATAAGGTGGTAGTAGATAAAACCAACAAGTTTTGCAACATGAAGGTTATGTTAACATAGACACGTGAAAGGAGAAATAGGGAAGTGCTTAACTGGTGCATCAGAAAATTATAGAGGAAATGGATTTTAATATGCTCTGACTTCAAAGGGAAACAAGGATAAAAGAATAAATATAGGGACCTACCTTTGGATGGATCGACATGTACAAAGAAACTTGCAGCAACAATCAGATAGCAAAGGATCAGCATCAACCCTTTAAAATAGTTTGATGTACCTTCCTACATAGTGTAAAGCAACAACAGAAATTAGGAACAAGCCTATATTACACAGCCCAGGAATTAAGTTTACAGGGCAAGGTGAACAACTTCTTTTCTTCAATTTTTTTTTGGTGTGTGTGTGTGGGGGTGGGGGGGGGTGCGTGAAAGTGAGGGGTGTTAAGAAAGAACTACGTAGGATGCAAAACCTGCAGCATGAATGCCACGACTAGCACTGTGATGAAGAGTGTAGCAGTCTCAAATAATTGGAAATTCAAGTCCATGGGCTTTCCCATAAACCAACCAACGACAACACAAAACGGTATCTGCATTTTCAACAGCACGAGATATTAAAATAACCAACAAAATGCACAAGCTCTACTATCTATCTCGAATAAAAATATAACCTGACAGACCAAAATTTACAGCGACACACAAAAGTTACGTGCTCTCAGGAGAGTAATCAGAAAAATCCATATATGGATCAATAATTTTTTTTAAAAACTATCCAATAACTTAAAAGCTACCTCAGATAGTCAGAATACATTAAATGTCTTACCACAAACATTGATATCTGAGTAGATGACCCAATTGCCACTCCAAGTGTGATGTCCTGCCAAAGAGGATACATTAGTAGCTAATTTGGAGCAAAAGAGAATAAATTTAGTGTTCTAAGAACTCACAAGCTTATCTTTCATCGCAAACATGATTGCGCTGGCGTGTTCTGCCGCATTTCCAACAATTGGAAGCAAGATGACACTAATAAAGGACATGGGCATGTTCAACGAGTCAGATGCACCCTGAAAAAATATTAGTGAATGGATAAATTACCGCGAAGAACAAAAATCAAAGTCACTAAAGGATTCAAAGCTAATATTGAGTCCTTCTGCATTATGCATGTAGCTTCACTTTATTAGGTGCTTATGGGAGACTCTACATCAATTAAGTCAGAGCTAAATAAGCTTCTGCCGCAACAATGAAATTGTGTTGGAAATTTTGTGGCTCTATCTTGATTCACTAAAGGGTAGCACGGTGTACGAAGAATCCTATGTTCAAGCAGGATCCAGGGAAGGGCCGCGCCCCAAGGGGGTGTGATCTATCTTGACACAATGCTGTTTTTATTTTTTCAGAGTTCCAGGCTTCTTTTGCATCTGGTTTGAGAAAGGGGACAAACCAGGTTCAAATTTTTGTGCCCCTATCTTGTTGTTCTTTACCGTGTGTGAAGTATGAATACACCTTGTTGGCTTCTACTGTTCTGCTTGTTCTCTCTGTTGCAGCTCTGTTAACATTTTAATTGTCTATTACATTATAGTTTTTTCCTATGTTCCAATTTATGCTTTATTTGGTACCTTGTGCATATGCATGCATCAGTAAGATCTAAGGATAATGGTATTTTTGTTATGTGTCGTTTTTCCTTAGCCACTAATACTTTTTTCTAAATAAATGTAATGTCTGGCTCAGCTTATGCGCACCTGCATTATTCCACTGAGTACCTGCTGCCTCCCACCAACCCACCAACACAAGTACCAGGTACCGAGTAATTTACCTACTTAGGCAGTCGGAAATAAATCACTTAACGTTTTTTGCGTCTATAGGAATTTGAACTATGGTCTCTTAGGGTTTTGCTCCCACTTCATTGGCTGCTAAGCCACATCCTTGGGTGCTTAATACTACTACATGTTCAATATTTATGACACCGTATCCAACCCTCGATTTTAAAAGTTTCATGCCTTGATGTCTTCATGTGTGTGCTCGACATGACACCCTTCAGGATCTGTATTACATAGATTAATTTTCTGAACTAATTTTCTAAAGGCAAATTAATCATGTTCAGTTTCACTTCTACAGATCCTTGGGACGAAGGACATACAATTCATCTCTAACTTCATGTCATGATTCCCCATGTCTGATCATTAGCCAACTTTTTTGGGGCGTGGGCTTCACAGTGGAACCAAAAGGCATCATGAGGATTGGACAAGGAAAAGTAAGGCGGTCAATATCTGGAGGTCTACTGCCGCGAGGTTATCTGTTATCAGGTAATTTTTTCTCTGATAACCTCAGAAGGGTGTCATGATAAAGCATCTAAGAACTAGGAGGTACATATACCTTTATAAAACTGGTATATACCTTAAAATAAAGAAACGAAAAAAGAAAAGGAAGAAGGCAAATAGATCACCTCGATGGCATCTACAAGATATCCAGACAGCACCGATATCCATATTGTCAAAACAGCAAGCCACCCTATAGCTTCCCACTGGGTTATCTCAGGCGCCTCTTCTTCTTCAGAATTTTCTGAATTATTTTCTATATCCTGTTTGCATAAAAGATAAACTATTAGATCTACCAAATCATTTATAGCTACATAAAACAACAATCATATATTTTGGTATACTTTCATCTCTAGAACTATTTGAAATATATGCGCTCTTCAGTCTTCATATCAGGCATTTGATTACTCCAATAAAAGACATAATGTAATGAAATAGCAGTAATGAACTTTAGGAAAATCAAACAGCTAAAAGTTAGACCATCTACCTCGACCACAGAGCCATACAGATTTGGTTGACTCTTGAGCTGAAAGAACAGGTAACTTGCATATGCTATCAGCATTATGCAACTGCTAAATCTTGAAAGAGCCAACTGTGACTTGCCAAAATGCACTTCCGTGTGGGTGAAATGAAGTACAGCTGGAAACAGTAAGCCCATGACTGCCATCAACAATAATCCTGAGTTCACAATGGCAGTCGCCTGAAACATATATAATGATCATTTGCACATGACAGCAGAGAGGCATTTAATGGCCATACTATGACAAGAGACCACACTGAACCGTTACTCATAGAATGCGATAAGTTTTATTTCTTTAAGTTTCATTCTTTTTATTAACCAATAAAAGGCTAAGTATTGACTTCATTGCAGATTTATTCAAGGACATGAGTACACGATTCAAAAGAATATGATCACCTTATTGAACACCTGGACTTTCTGGTGATGAATTATCCCACCACTGAAGAAGGCACAGCCAAGCACCAAGAGCATATTCGATAAAATGGAACCCAACAAGGACTGTTTAACAACCCGCATCATTCCATTGTTCAGTGCATATAATGAGATTATCATTTCCGTTGCATTGCCAAATGTAGCATTCAGAAGGCCCCCAACTATAAATCAGGAAAAAAAAATTAGTATGCTGATAAGAAAATGAGAAACACGTGGTTGGGGGAAACACGGGCTCCCACAGAATAGATACACCCACGTGCAACTGACTCGTTTCATAAATACACATGTACAGTATCAAAACATGATGCACTATTCCAGCAAAGGACAATGAGACAAACTTCAAGCACAGCAAAGCACAAAACCATTTTAAAAGATACAAAAAACTGACTGACCAATCCAACTGGCTTCAGTAACATAAGAGCAATTATTCAGAAGCTTGCTAAGGAATTCAATAGAAACAGACAAAAAAGCAAAAATACTTCAGCCAGTCTGGATAGAGAATAAAATAGCTTGTCATAAGAGACCATGTAAGATCTTATGACGTCTTTCCTTTTTTCCTTTTGACAGTTGATGAGAAACCAAATCACAATTATACAACAGGGTAGCAGGATTTCCAAACAGCCTTATCAAACGAAAGGAGAGACACAGAGCACAAAGAACATGGCAAACACACAGCAGCAGTCTTTCGAGAAGCAATTCAGGAAGAGCGAAAAAAATTAGGTTGCCACTTTTTCAATTTTATAGGAGCGAAACATTCAGGTTCACCAAAAAAGAAGTTCATTTTCAAAAGAAACATTCAGGCTCACCTTGTAGCACACCTCTATCAATGAGACAAAATAAAGCTGAGGTGTGGCAACAACCTTATTTTTAACTGTAATTGCAGATTTGCTGTCTTTTATGTGGGCACATGTGGAAAAATTAAGATGCTTAATACTAGTGAATTTCTATATGAAAAAGGACACAAGGCCGATAAGGTAAAAATTGCTTTTTACAAGAAGGATAATCTAGATGGTTGAAATGATAGTCCAGGTATTTGCCTGTTCTAAAGGTTGAAAGTTTATTTTTCTACTTAATATCTGACATGAAAGACCCTCGTACATCTACCATGAATCTAACTGTGACTAGAACAAATTATGACAAGGTTAATTTGTAAGAACTAGGAACTGCATAACAGAACGAGAAGAATAGGACGAAATTCGACAATCTAGGCATCTAACGACGATAGACAGACCCCAAAATGAAGTACAAGACACCTCTTTTAGTAAGTGATCCACAACAGGCCATTAGAACAAGAATTTAAGTTAAATGCAGTTGGTCCAAATTTGAGGACGGCGATGTTTTCTGTCGAATCTTTTGGAAGTACATTGATGTCTGTTTTAGCTTTAGGTTATGCAGCACATACTGCTCTAAAGTTTTCATGGTGCATTACCTATCTGCTCCTCTCCCCTGACCAACCCAACAAATATATCAGGAAAAGAATTGGTGTAGTATGTGCTCTCTGATAGCTGAATAGTGGATTAGAATTCCCTGCTTCTAAAAACTGGGCAGCAGCTTCAATATTCTTCCATGTTCTGAAACTGAAGCACTTTTCTCTTTAGATGTCTTCAATTAATCGTCTCTTTCTCTTCTCCTCCACCTTAGCTCATTGAATAGAATCACCAAATGAAAGCATCAATCAGAACTTCCTCGAAACTATACTGCAGTATATTATCTCCATTTTAGATGAGTTACGTTCAGCATATTACATTCATCTAAATACCATTTATAGTTCAGAGTTAAATGGAACTGCTGCTCACTCAGCCACTTCTAAATCCACCTTGGACACCATATTTTTGCCACTTATGGTGGTCTAGGACCAATATCCATTCAACTGGGGAGGGGGGGAGGGGAGAACCCAGAAACATCTTCCCCCAACTTAAGTCACAGAACCCCATCCTGAAATCAGAAAAACATGTTATTCCCCTTCACACTCTTACGGATCTTGACTACAGCATCTTGTCTTTCTTCCTTTTTTAATGATAAACTGAGTACAGCATTCTGTCACATGGTCAAAATGCCTTGTGAGCTACCAAACAATTGATTTACGTATTGGGAATAACCAATTAAGTTCACGATGACACCTAGAAATCGATCAGTGATTCAATTCGAGTACCTCCACAGCATAAGCAGGCTTTCGAGAAGAAACTGGAGGACTACAAATTAATTGACCCCGGAAGTAAAGAATGACGGCTTGACCTAACTACTTTAGGATTGAGACAGAGTTGATTGATCGACAAATTTTTAGGATTGAGACAGAGTTGATTAATCGACAAATTTTATCTGGTTGAAAAACAACTAATATGCATGAATGTGTAATTCCAATTGCATGCATTCTTACTAGGGTGCCTTAAAAGAAGATAGAAATGGAGAAACAAATGAAACAATTAAAAAAAATGGAGTACCTGTTGGCCCCGTATAGAATGCGAGCTGCCTGTAACAAGAGGATGAAGAAGGCTAATAAGCACACAAAATAGAATAGCAGCAGAAGAGAACTAAACTAACTTGGATAACATAAGCTTACTCAGTCGCATAACCCAATCGCTCAGCTAAAGGTGTAATACCCAGTAAACTAAAGAGAAATACCCAAGCCTGAAACATCAAATTGTACCCCAAAACAAGGATATAAGCACAACTGAAATGGAAAAGCAACATGGACTACTAAAAAGGTGAACATGGAGAAAATTTAAAAATAATCATTACATGTTTTCCAGTAACATAGTGCAGCAATATGGCCAGAGGACCAAAGGGAAGTAACACGTTGATCTTTGCTTTGATAATAACAACGTATATACTCCTAAAAAGGCTGATCTGATACATCTTTCTTAAGACCTTAGACGAGCGATAACTTCTTGGCGATGCAATATGAGGTGCCTCATAGTGCAGACTGTCCATTTTATTAGTAGCCTGAGATGAGCTAAATGGAATCTCCTCATCAGATTCAAGTTCTAGTTTCTCCCCAGCAGATCCCATTTTGAATACAGCCTACAACTTACAATCTCCTGAAAACATGATAAATAAGTAAAAGCTGAATAATTGGAAGAGAGAAAAAAAAAATATAACAAAACATGGGCTAATAGATAATTGCATACTGATTAAAGTTGTGATTTTTTTTACTCTAACAGTACCTTAATTAATCAATGGAAGATACTCAAACACAAGTTTACAGAGTCAGTACACCAGACGAGACCAATTCAAAGAAGAGTCAAAGCAAGTCAGCTGAGAAAAGAAGAATGAATAACAAGATTAATCAGAAGATTATGATGCAATAAAAGGAAACACAAAATTTTGAAGTTGATTGTGAGAGATTGACCAGATCAAGATTTGCCACAATAGATAAAACAGAAAAAAACCAAATATAACCAACAGAAAATAGCATAAAGATTGAAACTTTACCAGTGAAAACATCAACAAGTCGGCTAATGGAATCGTCTGCTTAACTTAATAACTGATTAGTACGAGTGCAAGAATCGATTACCCTACAAATATAGTACTCACTACATAGTACATAAAGTGATCCTATTATAAGTGTAATTTCTGTGTGTTTTGTATAACATATACTACTACAAAATATAGAGGAAAAAAGGTCCTGAAGCTTAGGTTATTGGTCTGAGATAGAGGTATTGGGGAACGGAGCCGACAATGGAAGAAAATATATGACATACTAATAAAGAAGAAAGACATGAAATTTCCTGGAAGAAGCGCCTAATGTGCTCATGTACTAATTTTCAAATTAAGAATTGATTATTTAGTGCTAATAATTCTCGAATAAACAAATCAAGAATTGATTGGAAAAAATAAAGGTACAAATTCTAAATAGTGGGATATTTGGGGGTATTTTAAATTTCTGGGAAAAGTAGGGGGACAGATAGAGTTTTATAGTGGAAAAGCAGGGGGGTTACATGCAAAGTGGGGGTAAAAATCGAAAATAGTCATATTTATAAGTGGTAATCGAAAAATAGACACAGTTTCAAACGTGATCGAAGTTTAGTCACTTATAAAGATAAAATATGAACAAAATATTCTTAAAAATCCAAAAATATTCCAGCATAATATGATGGAGTTCGAATTTTTTACATATGAGCTTCCAAGATAATATGAATTTTATAATATGCTGAGTTCCATGCTCGAAGTTTATATGCAAGAGCTTCATAATCTCGCATATTATGTTGTAACTTTCCATGTGCGGGAGTTCCAACATATTATGCTGAAAGTTGATGCGCAAGAGCTTCATAATTCATAATATTATTCTTGAACTTTCCGTGTTTCGGCAAACCATTAGTTATTTTTCAATAACTTTGTAAACCCTATTATTTTTGAATTATCGGTCCGAAATTGGCTAGTTCATGCTATTTTTAGTGCAAAGTGACAATTTCAATTATTAAAATGTATATTTAACGTTGTTTCACTAAACATTGCATGTTGTGTTGGCCAACGACGGTGACTAGATCTTTCTCCACTACTCCCCCACAATCAGCCCTTTATCTCTTTATGGATAATAATAAAATAATTCGATACTCCAATTTATCTGCATTTCCTATTTTTTTCAAGCTCCTATTCATAGAGAAATCTCTATCAAGAATAGAATAAGAGATGTTTTCCATTATATCTTAGGAATCTTTCGGTTAAGAGTCACTTTAATTGTCAAATTAACTGCATTTTTTTTTGTAATAAAATTAGAAGTAGACAATATACAGTTTTTTCACTTTGATAAGAGTTAAGGGAGAAAAAATGGGAAAATTTACTTTTATTCGTTTTTTATCGGAAAGATGATAAAAGAACCTATAGTTTGTCATGTTATTGTTTTCTTTTTGAGGTAATTTCTCAATTTCTTTTTTATCCCTTTTTGGCTGAATTGAGAAAACAACCCACGTTATCTTTACAATACCATCTCCTTTAATTAATTAAAAAAGTGCAGGGACTTTCCTTAGTAGTTGGGGTTAAAAACAGTTAATGCAAATGAAGTGAGGGGATAACTACCTTTGTTATGTAGTTATACATGAAAATCAACACAGTTATACTCCCTCCGGTCCAAAATAAGTAATCTTTTCAATGTTTTCACACAGATTAAGAAACTTACCTTTTAGCATTAATTAACAATAAAATTGATCATGTTAACCTTTACTATCTCACATAAACACTCCTAACACATATTCCAACACTATTTACTCCAAGGACAATGTAGGAAAAAAAATAATTAATTCATTCTTGAAATCTGAAAAAATCACTTATTTTGGACCACAAAAAAAAAACCAAAAAATTACTTATTTTGGACCGGAGGGAGTAGTAATTAGTTCATTCTTCTTATATTATCTTCTTCTCGTTATTACAGTCACTTGAACTCTTTGCCAGCTCCCTTAGTTGAATCTGAAGGTCCCAAGCTTGATTGTGGAGCTACAAATTTTCATGTAACATGATAGTTCAAAAATTTTTACTTGGAGTATTAATTTACATTATTAACCTTAATTTCAAAAGTCTGACTCGTTTAAGAAAGAGGTGAGGACTAACTCTTTGACTTCTTTTATTCTTGATTGACATGAGCTTAAATCAGAGGCGGGGTCAAGATTTAAAGTTTATGGGTTCTGAATTTACAACCGAACATATAGCTCGTTAGTTGTTGGGTTCGCAATTAAGTATTTAATAGATTTTCTCGTACAAATACTATTGGGATATATACCATTAACCATGGGTTTGGAATAATTGTTTATTCAATTTTAATAAAGTTTTAAATAGATCATATATTAGTCTGTGTCCTTTGCTTATATAGTAGATGATTTATGTTAGTAAACTGTATTTGTAAAATAATTATGGAAATATAAATGAACATAAACAGAAATGACAGAAAACCAATTCGAGCCCGCTGAATTCACAGTGTTTCCTTAAGGAATTTAATCCCTTCCTAGTACCCAAGGTTATGGTATTTCCTCCCAGGATAGAACGAATTAAACACTGGTGTAGTGGTACTTCAAACCCCAGTGTTTTAGCGAACACAAAGTTCGGAAGCAAATCACACTTACTTTTGCTTTGTTTGATGCTAAAAGTATGCAGAAGAAGGAGAAGAAACTCAGAAAATCGTAGTGAAATTCTGAGCAGAATAGTGTTGTATTTATAGCCAAAGTTGGGCTGAAATCTGAAGAGGTGCAACTCTTCAGAATGGCTGTTTATGCAAAACGGCCACAGAATAAATGTCATTACATAAATGGCCATTTACTCAACAATAAATAGGGAAAATTGAAGGGTAGTTAATTTTCTGTTACAAAAATAGAAAAACGGATTGGATTTAATATTAATTTTTAATATTAATATTCTGTTATTAAAACAAATATTTAATAACATTTCTGTTAATATTTTACTATTAACAAATAAATTTGGTCTAAAAAGTTAATCAATCAATCGATCATTTGACCGAATCCAAATCCGAAGCCGAGTGAGCGACGACGACGACGACGACGGCGGCGCGAGGCTTGCCTTCTTCTCAACTCTTTAAGAGCTAGAAGAAGAGCAATTGCTTATATACCCATAAAAACCCTCTTCCTCTTCCAATATGGGACAATGTCCATTTACCAAAGGGGGGATCTTAAAATCTCACTCAAAAATTTCATTTCCCTCCATTTCCCATTCACCATCTTTTAAGTATTTAATATATTAATTAAATACATAAATAACCCAACAATTTACTGTATAAAGTTTAACTTATACACGGAAGATTACATTATCGGTTCTTATAAGTATAAAGTTTGAGTTCACAATCTAATGATGGAATTGGACAAACCATCATGGATGATTGTAGCACAAGATTAAATATAATTTATCTTGATTATGGGAATGGTTTAATTCCAACTTCTTGTGCTAGCACATTTTGTATGTATTGAACGGACCAAGTAGATATAAGTATTTTATACTGACTTAATAAAATAAACTCTCTACTCATTAAATGTACTTATACACTTAACCTTGATATAATGATTATTAGTTGTGTACATTATTATTGTTTTGATTTATTAAAAGGCGAGAATCTTTCGTGGGACAATATGCCTAGTAAATTGGATAATAATAATGTATATTGGCGAAGTAATAGTTAGTTGATGGAATCCATGTCTCGGTTTAGAGATTGATGATACACCTTTATGAAAGCTTATAAGTTTTCATGTGTAAACCCGGCCGGTGAATTTTGTATCCGACACATGAAATAAGTTAAGCGAAAGTCTAAAGGAAATAATCAATAAATTAAATCGTCAGTAATTTAATTTAATTGATTAGTATCTGAATCTTAATATGGGGAGTTAAATAAGATTTAATAGTTAAATTTCGAAATTGGATAAGGAGTGCAATTACGAATTTTTAGTGGAATAAGCCGTAATTAATTATGGTAGATATTAATTTCGAAAATTAAAAATTAATTTCATAATTGGAGCCATGTTAATTAAATTCGGTGGTCCCTACCGTGCCTAAATAATAGGAAATAAAGGAATCATTTTTCTGGTGGAAAAGAAAACCCAACAGGTTTTGGAAAAGGGTTTTAACCCTTAAAACTTATTGCTATAAATACATAAGGTTTTCCACCTAGAGGGAGTAGTACATGGTGGCCGAAATTTTCAACCAAGTTTTCCTAGAAATTTTGCCCATACGAAATTGCTATTTCCGGATATTGTTTGGGTAACACAGTAGAAGACCGTGGAACGTTCGAGGATCATGATCGTGCGGGTGGTGGAGATTTTATTGAGTTGTTGTGGAATTGGAGGCTCACATGATATAGGAGCTTTGTTCACGCTTCAAGAGGTAACCCGTGAAATTAGATTTATACTAGTTGTCTAGGTTATATGTGATTTTGATACTGGGATTGCTTCCGCTGCATATAATAATCCATCAAATATAGGGTCTAAGCAAAAAGTTATTGGATTCGTCCGAACCCGTAGATAACACCCTCCCTCCGCCCCCTTGGATGGCATCACCTTATCAATGAGAATTCATATAGATGCAAATGCACCTTATCCACCATGCTTTTAAATAATTAACTAAAATTAAGATTGCTGACACTCTTAAGGTGGATCAGTTTCAATCTTGACCCCTAAGAACCTTCCTTTATGTTTTGACTGAAAAGTTAGAAAGAGTAACAAACGAGAAGACAAAAATCATTTACTAATTATATGCTCATTATCTACAACTTATTTTTCACTTCCCATGACCCCCCTCCATTGGACAACAGACAAAGCCTTGTAATATTTTAGATATATCCCTTCTAAATTTAGGACTCTTAAATAGAGTATTTGATTGCCATACATATTTACGGGCTTACGAACAAAGGTGTATATATATATATAACTAGATGGTTATGGCCCGTAAGCACAGGCCCATATATATACTATTTACATATTCAGAAAATTTGATGCTTAATGCATTGATGGTGTTGTGGTTAGTCGTCCTTTTTGCAACTTTCGCACCTATAGAATTGTGAAGTGATGAGAATTGTCAGGTGTCAATGTCCATATAATATATGTGTATAAAAAAATTATAGGAAGGAAAGAAAGAACAAGAAAAGAATAGGACAATATTGCTGCCCTTGTTCTTTAAATTTCCTTTGACATGTCAGTTTTAAATTATTCAACACAGAAGCATACAATATGGGCACTCAAGGAGAAGAGGGTTATTCATTTTGGATCACCATGACAACCTAATACTATATTTGAAACTTATAAACACAACTGCCGCATAGATGGATGCCAATCAATTGCTTTTCTTGAAAGAAGATGGAATACTGAAGCTACTTGCAATTGAGTTCTGGATAGGATGAGCAGTCCAAAACTATTAGCAAAGTATGTTGCTGGCTTCTAGGCTTTAACTTCAAATATAAATACATATATACTTCCTCAAGTAACGTTGGTTAGCACAAATGTCATATATCTTTTATTGCCAATGTGTACCATGACCATCCCATCACTTTTCCTTGAAAAATTTAGTGGTAAGAAAAAGGATCTAGCTAATTAAGTTAATGCATCAACTCAATTGACACATAACTCATTCACATGTGCTAATAATATGTTTGCTCACAACTTAAAAAGGATCTAGCTGATTATGTTAAAGTATCAATTATTTGATGCATAAATCATTGACACTTGCAGATAGCGTGTTTGTTTATAGTTTAAAAGATTATAGAGCATAAACAAAGCAGTCAATTACAGAGAAAAAGAATGATAGTTTGGCATACCTTTATATATATCCTCAAAAGAGTTTGTACCATCTTTAACCACAACCTTCATGAGGAATTAAATATACAATCCACCCTCTAATAATGGATCTTTTGGTAGATAAAGAAATGTATAATATCCGAGATATTTTAATTTATAGAGTTCTCTAACATACTAACCTTATATTACCTTTTAAGAATTTCATTTCTAGTATAATGATAAACATTTGAATATTAGTGGCCTTAATTCTCTTTTTCATTTCCTCAAAAGAGGAATAGATAGAGAAATATCGAAGGTAAATTAGTGCACTCAGTAAGTTTGAAGAAATTAATGATAAAGTGAGAACATGCTTCAAAAAGAAAAAAGCAAATATACAATTTGGTGCACATACATCAACATATTAAAAATATCGAAAAAGAAATTCTTAAAACAAACTTTAGTTTTCATCACCCTCCAACCGCAACCCCCAAAAACGCAAACAAAGAAACCAAAAAAAATCTCAAAAGTAGAGTAAGAAAAGGAAGCTTTTTGCACCAAATCAATCAGACAGAATATACTGAGAGAATGTGTTGCAACAACATATAGTAGTTTAACATATAGCAGGATTGGTGGATCGATTAAAATCCAGAATTCTAGATTAGTCCACTCTCTTAAAGGAGGTACATCTAATTGGATTATATACATCAGTGCTTTATGCAGCTATCCATTAGGAGATACTGATAATCACAAAATTCATGTAATAGATAAACCTACTTCAAGTTATCATTAATCTCTATCGTGCAACCTTGAATTTCATAAAAATCTTCTTAAAGGAAACAAGCGCAACTACAAAATTTAAGCAAAAGACCAAAATAACAAAATCATAAAATGAAAAAGTGACAGTGTCAGTCAGAACGTCAACCTTACCCTTTGTTAGGCTTCTATATTGTGCAGCCAATGCTTAGAGCCATCGGACCTGACTGTTCTACTGCAGAGATACAAATTATCCTTTTAACATGTAAAAGTGCTAAAGTCAAAATGGCTACTCAAAGAATAAAGAGAAACTGCATAATACATATGTTGAGGATTTATACATGGCAACTTCTTTATTGTTTGTTTTTTTAGTTCAGATTGAACCTGGAATTAGACGAATCATACCATTTCCGCTAATTATACTCATCTATATAGAGTGTTATTGCGACAATGCAATAGTAGCATTGTCACAAAAAAGTCATCTTCTAATTTAGCTCTATTCGCTCATTGTTGTATTAAAAGGAATTTTTTTGTCTGGCGACATCAGTCTATATAATTTGCAGCGCCTAGCCCTTCAGTCAGCTTATTTTTTCTAATTTGATTATTTTTATAATTGCAAGAGAGAATTAGTAAATATGAAGGGACTGGAAGAAATTGACGGGTGATGAAAATGGAGAATTACTTTTTCCATCGTACTATCATCCGTGTGTGATGAGAATGCAAATTGCAAGTATGAGAACATGTCCAATGAATGAATGTAGAAATAAGTGAGAGAGGCAGGAGTGACTGAATTTGTCTTCCACTGAAACAATAATACAAGTAACAATTGAAAAAAGTTTTGAATATCGAATCTTCTTCAGGATCACATGTCCATGAGATCATCTCCAAAAGACAGTATGATTTATGTTGATAGGTATTCTGAAATGCATTTTGATTTCCTATTTTTCTTGAGTTTCTCTGAATAAGAGAACTTATAGTCTGCTTTGGTACTGCATTTTGGTTTGATTTTCTCTATTTTCAACTTCTTAGGCAAAAACAAAAAGTTAGAAGAGAACTTCAAATAAACCATGACGCAGAAAAAATAGAATGAGAAATCGTATCAAAGCAACAAATTTCAGCCCAAATTTTTTATTTCTCCTTCCCTCTATAGACATAATAATGTCACCATAGGACAACAACAACCAAAAATTCAGCTATGAAATTAAAAATTGTTAAGAGATGTCGAAAAGGCAAAGAAAAAAAGAATAGAAAGAGGATTGAGAGACAATCATACCTGAAATTGCAAGAGACGGAAGAAAAAATGAAGAGAGATAAAAGTATTTTTGAAAGTTTAAAGATGTGAAAAGGGTACTTCTCTGCTATATTGGATTAGAAGAGATGGAAGAAGAGATGGTTCTAGACCAACTGTAGTGTGTCGAATGGAGCACAACACTTTATGGCAGAGCAAACTTACATTTATGCCCTTGGTCGACCTCACTTGCCTCTTCTATATAATAGAAAAGTAAAGTAATATATGGTTTTCCTTTATCATGCAGGAAAGGTATTCACATTCATCGAAAGCGAGAGCATTCAATCAACTTAGTATACAAAATCAACCGAGGCACTCAAAGTTAGTTAAGCTGGCACATTAAATTTGGTGAAGGTCTATGATTTAGTGAAACAACTACACCAAGAGAAATAAACTGTTGACTGTCAAGATCTTATTTTATGACAATATCGATAAGCCGGGATAGCTCAGTTGGTAGAGCAGAGTAGGGGTGTTCAAAACAGATTCGAAACCGAAAATCGAACCGAACCGAAGCTTAATGGCTTACTGGTAACGGCTTAACGGCTTAACGGACGGGGAACGGATTGAATTTTTTTTATTAACGGCTTATCGGTTTGGGGGCGGATTATTTAATTTTCTTATTGGATAATCCGTTAACCCGTTAAGAATATAAATATATATATATATATATATAT